CAGGCAAGGCACGTCGCAGCATCAAATGTCTGGTAAACTTGCATCAATTCCATCAACCACGGCACAGGGATAAGCTTAAGGCTGGCACAAATACATGCACTGACTCAAAAGATCTATCTGAGAGTGATTCACATTCATGAGTCTGGAAAGAGAGAACACAGGTGAGTGGAAGGAATGCATGGCGCAGCAAGNAAAATGGCAAAAAACATTTTGAAAAGTTACTTCTGCTAAGGTCTGTAGTAAAAAATATTTGCCGTATTAAAAAATTTCGCTTAGAAAAAAGTGGCAGACAAGTGTCAGCATGAAAACTTTATTTGCGGAATTTACATACCTCAACCCAAAAAAAATGGTGGCCATTTCCGCACAGCGGGGCTACTCGGGACACCCCCAAAAACGCATTTACAGTAGAACCTCAGTTGGCAAAGGCTCTAGTTAAGAAAGAAATTGATTAAAAACAGAATATTGATTACATTTACCTTGATCAGGGAAAAAAATTCACTTATCAAAAAATTAGTGCATCATTGGTCATCACAAAATTGTGCATAGAATGTCATGTATAGAATTGTGCACCAGGCATCATAGAATGAAAAGTAATTGACCTAAACTTTGATTTATTTCTCCAAAACATATGATGGTTGTCACTAAAATATTGCTATCTGTTTCAGGTACGTTTTTCATGATCTTTTTCTTATAGTAAATTCACTTAACCCAATTAAAATGGTGTGAAATTACAAGCCATCCTGTAAGCTTACAGATACAGAAAAATGCTATAAGGCTGCTGATATGAAGCTTGCAGTGGACAAGGTTGTTGTAAATGCTCAATGGCATGTTCATGGATACGGTAATATTGCATCAATAATACGGTAATATTGCATCAATAAAGGAAAAACAAGTAAAAATCACAGAAAATGTCATTTATTCTACCTCTACATCATCTACAATGAAAGAGGACTTCAGAGTACTGTTAGTAATGGATGAGTACACTGTGCATGCTTCAAATGTTTTGAAATGAAGTTTTATTTCAAGTGTCCCGAGTAGCCCTGTTTGACGGGGCTACTCGGGACACTCTTTTTTTTGCTTTGGCACCTTAAGAATAGCATATGGAATTTTCTTGGAGAAGCCATGTGATAGCCCTTGCAGAGAGCTTTGAAATGAGCCTAAACTTATTAATGAAGTGTTTCATGGTAAGAAGTTATGAATGAAAAACGTTCAAATTTGTCCCAAGTAGCCCTGGTTGACGGTAGTATTTTGGATGCCAGCATCATACATATGAAATTAATTAGAATATTTGAGTAGATAAAAAAATTAAATACTAACTGATTCTAAAATCTCTGGTTTGCCACTATGTCTTAAGATCTTGTCAACACACAAGGATTGAAATTATTGCATTTTAGATATATGCAACTCCTTGGCAACACTAATCGTTTAACAGAAGGTACACCAGTGGCTGCATCATTTTCAAAATTTCCGGCTTCTGGCTGGTTGGATGAGGCTACAGAGCACGATCAACAATTTGGTAATTTTGGTTGCAATGCAACTGTCTACTGCTATACCTGGAGTGTTGAAGATACACTTATCAAAGTTGGTTTTGTAATAACTTTGATAAAAATTATGTTTAAAACACATTTCTCAGTAAGATGTATGATGTTGAGAAATTTTCTTGCACAAAATGAGCTTCCTAAAAGCAATTGTTTATGCAGTTTGCAAAGGATAATCTCAATCTGATAAGTTTGCACAGATGTCCATGCAGAGGGAGTGTTGGCATTGTGGTAGCCAGCATTGGTTACCTGAATGCAGCTCATTGGTTACTAATATGGCTACCTCAGGCACATGGATATGATTGTCATCAGTCATCACACATCTGCAGCTGTTGGCAGCAGTAGAGATCAAACTATAAACAGTTATTAATACGCTACAAGCATGAACACGTGGCAGCATTGCGAGATGATATCACATTGTTGCATAGCTGAAGCTGTTGCAAGCAGCAGCATTCCAAGTATGTACAGTAGTTAATATCATCAAACAGTACAAAAGGGACCGGCAGGGTAAATTGGACAGTCCTCCAACATTTTGTAGAAATGTTGTTGCAACTAAACTAATTAGACTACTGCAAAACTAAAAATAGAGGGGCAAAGGTAATTTTTCCTATCAATGTAGGCTATGTAGCATGATGCAATCAAGAAATCGTACATTTACTACCTCTAAAAAATCCTTGAAAAAAAGTGTGAAAAGTGAGATTTTGGGAAAATACCTCTACTAAGGTCTGTAGCAAAAAAAAAGTATACCGTCAACTGGGGCTACTCAGGACAGTTTTGAGCATTTTTTTGTTAATAACTGTTAATAACTTCTTATTTTTGCTACAGACCTTAGCAGAAGTAACTTTTCAAAATAGCGTTTTTCACCATTTTTTCAGGAATTTTTCAAAGCTAGTAAATGTAGTATTTTTGAGCTTCCTTTATACTACATAGAAGGAAAAAGGTTGACGTTTACGCCACTATATTTAGCTTTGCAATATTCCAATTAGTTTTGCTACTATAACAGGTTTACGCCATGTCAGAGGACTGTCCCGAGTAGCCCCGCCCGTCCCGAGTAGCCCCGGTTGACGGTACTAGCTGAATTCAGAAGTGGCATGAATGCCTTTCAGGGGTTAAATGTTAATGGGGGGCAAGTACAAAAGAAATGATACAATGGTTGGCCCAACTTGAAGGAATAAGATAAGATTGAAGCATTGAAATGAAAAGAGAGGCACAGATGCCCAGACCAAAGAGGTGACTGCATTCATTAATGTAACAAATTAGGGCCCTTGGCATGCATTAAATCATATTGGTTAATAGGAAATGAGGTTGAACCCAGTTTGCAGTAGCAAACACTGCCTCAGAGAGCAATTTCAGAGTCACTTTCAGCCCTGCACTTACAGTATATTGTAATTGGTATCTCCTGTCTTTCATGATCATGATCTAATGGAGAAATTTAGGGTTGGCAACCTGGTAGGCATTCGGTGGTTGAATCAATTGGGGTGAAAGGAGGTTTAGAATGAGAATTGAAGCAACATCTTTCATGAAATGTTGTACTGACATTGCAATGCAACATTGAATCAATGTTGCTACTACGACATTGCTGCAACATTGAATTCTCTGGTTGAAGCAACTACCTATTACGACGTTGAGATTGCGGTGGAAAGAGATTTATATTGAAAATTCAAGCAATGTCTCTCATTAAATGTTGTACTGACGTTACAATGCAATATTGAATCAATGTTGCTACTACAACATTGCTGAAACTTCAAATTTGCTGGTTGAATCTATGTTGAAGAACCAACCTGTTTTTCGTCCATAGCGGGATTCGAACCCGGGACCACTGGAGACCGCGTGATGCCTTAGCAACCTGGACCATGGTAGCTTGCAAGCATGAGCAATAGAAATAAGCTAAAGAATTGTTCAACTCCTTGAAAATTTAAATGCAATCCAATCTCTGGTCATTAATTGTACACTTATATATATATGTATTTCATTCAATGTTGGTGTGATGACATTGGTTCCATGCTGTTAAATAGCTAAACATTCAACATATCAATATCGACCATTTTTCTACGTTGAAATAAGGTTGTTTTATGTCCTTCCTAGTTTTGGTCAAATTTTGACGTTGATCGGACATTTAATTTTTGTTCAGTATTTCAACCTGAAATCAACATTGATTGAACATTTAAAAATAAATAAATATCCAACATACCAATACCTATCGACATTGTTTCAACATTGAAATAAGGTTGTTTTACGATTTAGGTCCATTCTAGTTTTGGTCAGATTTCGACGTTGATTGGATGTTTAATTTTGGTTGTTCAGCATTTCAAACTGAAATCAACATTGATTCAACATTTTAAAATTAGTAAGCATTCAAAGTACCCATATAGATGTTATTTTCAACATTATTTCAACATTGAAATAGGTTATTTTATGTCCCTTCTAGTGTTGGTCAGATTTCGATATTGATATTGACATTTAATTTTGGTTGTTTAGCAGTTCAACCTGAAATCAACATTGATTCAATATTTCAAAATTAGTAAAAATGCAACTTACCAATATCAACGTTACATCAACATTGAAATAAGGTTGTTTTGTGTCCCTTCTAGTGTTAGTCAGATTTTGATTTTGATATGACATTTATTTTGGTAGTTGGACATTTCAACCTGAAATCAACCAATAATCAACATTGTTTTAATGTCAGATGCCTGCTGGGAATATATGCTCAAGAAGTCATGGTAAATTGAAAAATAAAATTTGAAATTAGAACTTCCTTTTTTCATAAGATGATATTTTTGAACTGGGCTATTGACCAGGCTGTATCAATCTTTAATACAGCTGTTATTGATAAATAGGCTTCAATTAAAATTTATTATTATTTTGTAGATTAAATTTAAATAATACTAAATTAAAATGCCAAAAGTTCTGATGAAGGCCTTTCAAATTCTATGCTGAAAAAATTGTGTATTTGCTAATACCTTGTTTCTTAAATCTTGCCCTCAGTCCTGTGAGAAAGATTAAGAAGACTTAGTCACCAATGTGACATGTAGGTAGTTCAAATCAAAGTATTATTTTGGTGATTAATGAAAGTATTATTTTGATGATTTAATAAACTTGATTTTTAAGCTATAAAAATGTTTCCCAAGGCAACATAGTCATTAACTGTAATTGATGTATTGCAATAGAAAAAGCTGTGCTGTAGTTGGCAATATTGTTCACATTCACCCTCCAAGCGAATGTTGAAAGAATGAAAAAATTTAAAACCCATTTGCTGTAGGTAGTATGTCATTAACTTGCAACTTTTAACTTAGAGCGAATTCTAGCAGAGGTCAATTATATATGTTTCCATCAACCATTGACTCTAATTTGTATGTAATGTGTAGGGTTACATCTATTGTTGCAGTAATGTTAACACCCCCAGTCTGGCTGGGGGTGTTAATTTTATTTAAGCTCTCATTCCTCATTTTTCTTCCAGATAAACTCTTCATCAAATGGTATAGTCTCTTTGAATGCAATTGTCAGTTTGTTGTTTTGATTTTCTCATGAGTCATGAACTACTTGGCTATTTTCATCAAGAGCAAATTTGGAAAAATTGGCCTCTCACATTGAGTCCTCATAGGCTTCTAAAATAATGAGATTTTGACTCATGAACATATTTTCTGTAAATCAATAATTTGTGGAACTATATTTTGTGTGTCATTTGATATGAGTTCATCAAAGGAAGTACCAGAAATCACAGAAGTGACCAAAACTGTAGTCAATGGTGTATGTTCACCAGTTGAGCCACTTACTTCACTTGCTAATTCAGTTTCAACTCCAGCATGCACACAACCGGGGAGCTCAGAAGTGGATGGAACCCTGAAAAAAGATGTGGTGTCTATTGAGAATGCAATTCAATTGAGTTCGAGTGTAACAAAAACATCAGAATCCAGCAGACCAAGTCCTTCCCAGCATCATGACTGTAAGACTTTGTTTACCAATGTGAAAATCTCTAAACCAGAGCAAATAACCAATGATTGTACTTTGACTAGTGATAGAAACTCAACTGCCAGCAATTGCAGTAGTGATGATAAAAAGAGTACTAGTAAAAGTGCTAGTTGTATCAATAAGACCACAACTGTTTGCTGCTCTAGAGAAGGCACCTCGTCAAGTTCCGATGTTTGCAGTAGCATTCCTGTGAGTTCTATTACAATATTAAGTCCTGATGATCCAGTGGTGTTACAAGCTTATGCCCTCGCTAATTTCATTATTGATAGCATTACTCATTCACAAACTGTTAAATCGTGTGGAAAAGTGGAAGAAACTCTATTGAAAAATGTGAATCATTTGATAGCTAAACATTCTATAACATTTCGAGGAATGATGAAGCGTTTGGACATAAATAAAGACACAGGCTACATAACTTTTGTCACTGTTGCAAATGAACTATTTGAGAATGAGAAGAAAAATATTACATGGAGTAGAATTATTGCCCTCTATGCTTTTGGAGCTCAGCTGGCGCTGCACTGTAAAGAAAAAGGCTTTGTGGAGTACGCCTCTCACATCGGAGCTTTCATGGGCAAATATGTTGCTGATACTGCGGGGCCTTTTGTGAAGCAGCAAGGTGGATGGGTGAGTTACTTTATTCTTGTTATGTTTGAGAATGAACATATGACTTTTAGTATTATATACTCAATATCTCTAATGAACCTTTCCAAATGGTTGCATTGAGCATTGAATTTTATTTAATGATTCTTTTGTGTAATGTGAAAAAACAATCACTGCAGCTTACTTAACTGTTGAGATATTCCCATGGCAAGTACATTTATTTGCATCTATCAATTTGTTATATTATTTTCTTGCAATGCCTTCTTGATTCATGCTATCTTTGTCAGAAATGAACAGCTTCTTATTTTCTATTGATTGCAGGAGAGACTTATTGAAGAGTTCCCTAGTGAAGACCAGCTGGGAGACACCATGTGGAAGCTCTTCGCCTGGTCTGCCATGGGGCTGGGCCTCGCTACAGCCACCATGATCTTTGCTTCTAAGCGCTGAGCAAAATTTAAACTAAAGAAAATAATTTTCATGTACTGCTGCTTTATTGATTTTTTTCTCAGAGAAATTTACATCTAAAAATCTTTACAAATATTTTTTATAAATGGAATTAGTAGTCCTTGATTACAGCCTCTAACTTACAAAAATGAATTTCCATTCATAGTTGTGACTTTCATTAGAGTAGAAGCTGGATAGGAGGCGCCTGACTTGCTTTACTTGTTGAGGTGACAAAATGAACTGATCAGCAGTTATTTATCAACATTAAAACAAACCCTGTATATATTTTTAGCTTATTTATGTCCTGATGTGAAAACTACTCAAAACATTAAATTTTGTTGTTACTCAAGCTTCAAAAAGCAAGTATATAAATTAAAATCTGAGTGTGTATGAACTCAGATGAAGTGAATGCCATTCTTTATTAAAGCCTTAAGTTCAAATATTATCTGTTGGCTTCTCTGATGAAGTTTTTTTTTTGTTGAGGTCAAAGCAAAATTTCTGCAACTTATAATAGATAAGTACCTAGATTAGATTAGAACAGTAGAATAGATTATAAGTTTATCACATGATACTGTTGTTGGTATTGTTTTTTGCCCATTGTACACTTACATGTGTTAAGATTGTTATACTAGTTCAAGCTTGCAAAGGTTACATTTTGACAGTGGAAAGCAGGCTTCTACGTGGTTCAGAAAAAAAACTAATTAAAAAACAAATTTTATTGTCAAGGCTATTCCAAAACCATAAAGCCCATGTATGGAAGAAGCTAATGGAATTTCATAATTCTTTCTTGCTGTGATCAATCTGCCAGGAAATCCTACCAGTACTTTATATGTTGATAAAGTGGTTTGCTGTATTATAGGTTGTAAAATGATACGGATAAATTTAATAATGACTTCTCATTTATATACTTGATACCCTCTTATGAGTGTTGAGTACCTATTACCTATATGGCTTAAGCTCTAAATGAACAAATATTAAGTGGCAGCTTTTTGCAAGTTATCATTATCAATTAAATTTATTTTTTTATTCAAGTTTGAATACAATCGAGTTATTAATATAAACCAATATTTTTATTCCTCTTACAATATCTGTTCAATATTATTTTTTCAACATTATGGCTCGAATAAGAAAATAAGCTCTAGGACTGACTACTCTACATTTTTTATTTTTGATGGTCTTTCAAAATTTGAATCCAAGTTTGAACAAATTTAGTTCTTTCTGGTGCACAAGTTCAATATCGTTTGAGTGTTAGTAATTTTCATTTGAGCAATTTTTTTGCGGGTAAATTTTTTATTTTGCTATCATGACAAAGCCATTGTGCATTGTAATTGAATCTGTTTTGGTATGATTTACCTATGAATGTTCATAGCTAATGTGTTGCGTTCATAGCTTTCTGTGTCCACAAGCCCTCGTCATACTGATTCTGTGTTTAGCTTCATGATTGTACATTTCAATTGTTATTGCAAAAAATATTGCACTAGTTTCTTGCTATTATTATTATTGCACAGTATTTTTAAACCCTAGTTTACCGCCAAGAAATTCCCACACCATTGATCCCGTAATTGCCAAGACAGTTATTTTCTCGAAAAATTGCTTCATTTCCGTGTCTAATTTCAGATCTTTCATAAAAGGTTATGAAATGATTTCAGATCTTTCGTAAGATATCATGAAGTGATCAGTGAAAAATGTAAATTACAAAAGTTGAAGAGTGGGGTTGATGGGAATGTCCTCAACCCTTACTGACGTCTTCCATAAAAATAGGGAGAATTAGATGTTGTATTTACTAGAATAAGGCTATTTTTACAATGATTTAACTCCACTTAAGATACATTTGAGCTTTATTTTGCAAGTTATTACTGATAGTTATAACATTATAAGTTTCATAATAGTAGAATTATTGAATTCATTGATTGCTACTAGAATTTCCTCTTTGCCGAAAGCTTTCTTGTTTCGTTGTTCAATGAGCTGCGGAACGTCCAAGCCATCCTTCATTTTGACGTCATAATGTGAAGGTATTGAAAGATACCTTAGACTGTTTTTTCAAATGTGACAGCTAATGTCCCATATGTAGCATGGCTGTACGAAGCAACAGGCTTCACATATATAAGCTTTTTGTATGGTAAATGTAGCAGTAATTACAACCTGCACCTTAACTCCATCTCTTTAAGGCACTCTGTGTTTAAGCCTTGAACTTCGTTTCCTATTCGGTCTTTTCGATCTCATGGCAACGTTTTTCAATGCGGCCTTATTGACTTCTGTAATATTCTAAAGAAGAGAATTTAATTGAATTATTTTGAATACTACCTTTAAATGGCCAATATCACTTTGTTCCTATAGTTTGGAATTATTTAATTTATGATTATTCTCGTATCATATCTGATGCCTCGGAACAAAAGGCATTGCATCATGAGGCGAGCGACTCGCGTTATGTAGTAACCAAGCTTTTATTTCAGAGCTCCTCAGGCAACACTGCTGTTGATAATGATACGTCTTACCTGACTTAAGGTAATACTTCGTTTGCTGGCTCGTCAGGCAAAGCTGTATTTTCCATTAAGTTACACAATAAGCTATAATATCAGATATAAGCACTAAAGTAGAGTAAGAAACAGCACTGTACATGTACGTCGTGACCGAACTCTGCTCTAATAAGTCTTGTATATTACGGTAGGTATATAGGTATATCCTGCTTTGCTAATCCTATCTATTTGATACACGTTGTCCTGCTAATTGAGTGCACCCAGATTGTTGGGTTATAAAGAAGGTGAAATGCATCTTATTTGTTACATTCATATCTAGTCAGTAAAGTTTAACATCTTACTCCATGTCGCTTAGGTGCTCTATTTTTGTAGCATGTCATAGTGTAAGGGATACGGAAAATGTCTTAAAGTATTCTCACTGGATTATTTAGTTTAATTGCACCTCAATGATGACTACAAAACATAGCTCTTTACCATCAACAGAAGCAGAAAAGCAGCAAAAGAACCGAAATTAGCCAAGATCCAAAGAAACAATTTCAATATGCGAGAAAATATCTATTAACACAGCATGATGTTGGTTGTTGCCCCTGATTATCATTAGCAAGTTCGTGTTACGACTGGATCAAATAAATAGAGATAATTCAATAGATATATAGAGGCAGGGTTGAAAAGTTGGATCAAACTTCTAACTAATCTGATTTCCTACACTTGAAAGACGAGCTGGAATTTTATTGTGTTATTTGAGAACGCCTTCGAATATTTTTGTTCCTTTATGGCTTGTAATGCTTGGTTTGCCTTGCTGCCCGGCATTTACAACTATCATCAATGGATTGCCGCACAAAAAGTTCATTGTAAAAGGGAGATTTTATTCGAAAATTTTCAGGAGCTGATGCAGTTATTTGGAGTATATAAATCCGCTAATAGATACCAAATGATCACGGTCTTTGTAGTCCATCGTCAGTATCAGTCTTTCTTTTCTTGGCGTTATCAGGAGTGGAGAAGCTCGAGTTTTTAATTGAAGTACATGTATTCTCGCAGCGCTTCACGCTAGCATTTCTTAAATTATCTGCTTCTTCAGAAATATTAACGTTGAAAAGTTCTATTTTCTCTGTTCCCGCAACACCTGAAGTAAGTGTTGCCTCCCGAGTTACAGTGTCTGGTGCGCTCGTTGTCATTTCAGGTTCAGCTACTTGATGGTCCGTGATGATTTTCTTCAATATGGGTGGGATTTCACCCTCATTCTCTTCAATATTGACGGTAATTATTTTTTCGTTGTTTCCGTTCAGTCCAGAAATCAATTCAGATTCGCTTTCATTCTCTATTGTCGTCATTTCTGTTCTTTTGCCTTCAAAAGATCTTGAAATTTCATGCTGTTCAATGCGGTGTGCTGGAGAACGTTCTGACGAATTCATTTTCAAGTCTTGGGGAATTACCAAACCATTACAAATGCTCGCCGCTTCTAGAAACATCATTTGCTTGGCGCGACGACTTCTATTTTGACTTTTTTCTTGCCGCACGGCTGTCATTTTCTCTTGAATCTCGTTTAGCATTCTTTGCGAGTCTTGCTGCCAAACTTGCCGGCACAAACCTTTTCTGAAGACCATGCCATGGAAATGCTCCTTCTTCTGGTACTTGATCCGGGCTAAGCCAAGCTCGGCCAGCGCCACCTGCCAGGCCTTGTACAGAAAATTGTTATGGCCTTCGTACTTGGAGTCTGGCGTGATGATGACGAGGATGCCTTCAGGCTTCAGGAGCTCCGTTGCTATCTTGCAACATCGCAGCCTTTGCTCCGCCACTGGAATGTATTCCAAGAATAAGCAGAAAATTACGACATTGAAGCTCATGGCTGGCAGACTTGTGATCGCTCCGACGCGAGCTTCGTGTCTTTCAACTTTATTAGGCTCATCCAAGCTATCTTGATCAATTTGCGGCGTCTGAGGTGTGATGTCCTGAAGTACGGTATTATCAGACGCCTCATTTGTCATGGCCACCGTATTGCTGGCCGACAGCTGGGATGAACTCTCGTTGGTTTCCACTTTGAGGTTCAAGAAGTCGCATTGATGCACAGTCTGTGGATGAAAAGTGACGAAGAAATTTACATTTGTCTACCTTTCTGGTAATTTTACTATCCAAATTAATATTCCTTCTAAACTTGAGAGCTCAACTCGAGTTCGCAGAACATGAAACCTGGAAATGTGACTTAAACACGGTCTCATTTTACGAAAATATCTCGTGTTTGGGTACAATAAATGCTCATTGAATAAATCACCATAATATCAGTTGGATATATCGAAAGGGCACAATAAATATTCATTGAATGAATCACCATAATATCAATAGAATAAATCAAAACATATGATTGTTATTACGAGTGAATAAGAAAATAGTACAAGCCTCTATGGCAGGATTTGGGTACAATAAACGTTCATTGAATAAATCACGATAATATCAATAGAATAAATCCAAACATTTGGATGTTATTACGAGTGAACAATAAAATAGTACAAACCTCGGTGGCAGGGTGCAGGTCTAGGGCGGTGACGTCGAGGTCAGGGTAGCGGGAGAAGGGGTCGTAGCAGCTGCCCACGTCCAGCACGCGTAGCCGCTCGCTGCACGGTGATGGCCTGCGCACAGAAAACATTATGTTGATATGTCTGCTAAACTCAACATTAATTCGTTCCAGAAAATTAAGAAATTGTTACGTGAATCTATTAAAATATTTGATGATTTATCGCGCGAAAATTCGAGCGACTTGACGTATTAATAATGACAATTTATAGGGATCCGTTAGCGCACTTTTCATAGCTGCTCAATTGATGATTCCGTACAGTTCATCTTTCGTCACAACCTGATACGTAAACTCGGTGGCTGTACGTTGAGCTCAGCTGCAACATTAGCAGCCGCGCATCTTATCTTTGACAAGGCAAAGACTATGTATTCTTATAATGAAGAAAAGTCGACCGATCTATATAGAAGCAGAATGCTGTTCCTCGATGATTCGGAACCAGAGCGAGGGAACTATAATGTTGACCGACTCGTGGAGTACTTGAGGGCAATCAATGCATTCGACTACATATGATCCGCACAACACCAAACACCAGTGATATAATCTACCCCTAGCCAATAATGCCCAATGTGACTTTCGGCGCGAGATAGCTCGACCTGAAGCGCTAGCAACTACGGCCACTGAACTAACTAACTCAATGATTCAGAGCTCTTGGATGTACTGAGCCATCTTGCTTCAAATTTTAGTAAATTACGATGAAAAGAGGCTATAAAACAACATTTCGGCTAGGGTGAAGAAAACAGACAAGTGCCTGCCTACGAAAAAGTGCATACCAAGCATATAAAGTGGTACCTATGTTATAAAAAACCGAATGATTTTTATTTTATTAATTTATCCATGATTTTCTTTTAAAATTTGCTCGAGCGAACTTCAAGTCACTTGGCACAGTTCCGCACGTTCGTTAAAATACGGCGATCTTCAAGGATTTGGTCATCCAATTTTTGCATCATTTTCTTCGGTGCAGTGGTCAGTGGAAGGACGACCTGAGAGACGTTGGTAGTTAATTGACAGTTTTCCCATTTTGGAAGCGTACGTCGAGGTCAGGGTAGCGGGAGAAGGGGTCGTAGCAGCTGCCCACGTCCAGCACGCGCAGCCGCTCACTGCACGGTGATGGCCTGCGCACAGAACACATGTTGATATGTCTGCTAAACTTAAAATTAATTCGTTCCTTAAAATCGAAAAATTGTTACGTGAATCTATTAAAGTATTTGATGATTTTTTGCGCAAAAATTTAAGCGACTTGACGTATTAATAATGAATATAGAATAGAATAGAAGTGTCGGCACTGAAGAAATAGGCATATGGCCTGTTGCCGATTCTTGAACTTTTCGTGACTTGATTCACAAGGGATCCGGCCTTTGGAACCCGATCTTTCCATAACTGATGATTAATTGTGATAGCTGCAGGACTTATTGCCTGGTCCGTAATTTGCCAGGCATTTTAAGACTGAACATATGCATAGGGATCCGTTAGCGCACTTTTAGCTGCTCAATTAATGATTCCGTATACTTCACGCCCACCAAGTTCCGTACAATTCCGATGATGGTTCCATACAGTTTATCTCTCGTCATAACCTGATACGTAAACTAGGAGGCTGTACGTTGAGCTCAACATCAACATTATCAGCCGCGCATCTCATCACTGACAAGGCAGAGACCATTCTTATAGTGAAGAAAAGTCGACCGATCTATACAGAATCATAATGCTGTTACTCAATGATTCAGAGCTCTTGGATGTACTGAGCTATCTTGCTTCAAATTTTAGTAAATTACGATGAAAAGAGGCTGTAAAACAACATTTGGGTTACGGTGAAGAAAACAGACAAATGCCTGCCTACGTAGAAGTGCATCCCAAGCACATGAAGTAGTATGTGATGAAAAAACTGAACTGTTTTTTTTTATTTATCCATTAAACCAAAATCTTTGAAATTTGCTGGAGCGAACTCCAAGTCACTTGGCACAGTTTCGTAAGTTCGTCAAGTTACATCGGACTTCAAGGATTCGGTGATTTAATTTTTGCAACATTTTCTTCAATGCGTTGAGTGAAAGGACGACCTGAGAGACGTTGGTCATCAATTGACATTTTTGCCATTTTTGAAGCATGAAAATCGCTGAAAAACTTGCTTTATCCCCATAGCATTATTATTGCAGGCTGTCTGTAGCATTTGAATCCAAGTTTTTCATAGAAGAATGCAAAATCTGACGGCAGCAAGTTGGTCACGATAGAACATCAGACAAAATGGTGATGATGGAACAATGTCTAGTTCTAGGGCAGCAATGCTTGACACACTTGCTGATGAATGTCAGCAGCACATGCACTTGCCAGAGAATGCGGTACTACCAAAACTTCGCCCACCACACAGGCTATCATTTCTTTACGTCAAACTGCCATTCCATGGACCTCACAGATATATAGAGCTAGAGTTCGTTCAGTAGAGCGGTAAGGAAACACATGCCGGAAGATCAGCTGAACGCGTCACAAGCTGGCAACAGGGCTTCGAACTAAGGGTAATCGCCAGCAAATCTATAAATGACTCATTATTTCCAACTTAATTCTTCAAGATAGGGTAATCTCAACTCGCCCAGCCTAATGGTCTCGAGAGCCCAGTGGACCAAGAAGATGGACCACAGCTGAACGTGTGACTTAACGTACATCATAAAAGAAGAAGGCCGACTTGAGAGGTCGGGTCAAAGGCTCGTTGGACGGTATTTCAGAGGAAGCAAGAGCAAGTGGCCCAGTGATTACAGTTCAGAGTACCAAAATTGAAGAAGAGAGGATCGATCCCAGCTCTGTGCGCCAGTTTCTGGTCAGAAACGGCGAGGAGGCCGGGCGGCTAAGCACAGCAGAATTGTAGCAGAGTTGCGAGTTCGAGACCGCAGCAAGCTGTGAATGTGCTAAGATGTTAAGAATCAGCGACAGGCCTCCGGCCCAATAAACACTGAAACCGCCCGCTATATTATTATTATAGAGGTCTGACATAGGAATAAAGGTGACACTTAAGATGTTATTGACAACAAGGGCGGATTCCTCGTAACAGAATATCAATTTAATCTACAGAACTATGCGATAGTCTGAGAACGAAAGAGTTACCAGACGCGTTCTGTGCACATAAAAAAACTACAACTCTCACTTGAGATGTAACCCGACAGTACAGCCCTCACCCCTCACAAGACAGTACAGCCCTCACACTACACCCCTCACAAGACACTCACCCCTCATGCAACAAGGCAGGATCACGTGCCCAGGCATCAGGTACAGGAGTTTACGCTCACCCCTCACAAGACACTCACCCCTCACAAGACACCCACCCCTCACAAGGCAGGATCACGTGCCCAGGCAGCAGGTACAGGAGTTTACGCTCACCCCTCACAAGACACCCTCACAAGACCCTCACCCCTCACAAGACACTCACCCCTCACAAGACACTCGCCCCTCACAAGACACTCATCCCTCACAAGACAGTACAGCCCTCACAATACACTCACCCCTCACAAGGCAGGACCACGTGCCCAGGCAGCAGGTACAGGAGTTTATGCTCATCCCTCACAAGACACCCCTCACAAGACCATCACCCCTCACAAGACCCTCACTCCTCACAAGACACTCATCCCTCACAAGACACTCACCCCTCACAAGGCAGGACCACGTGCCCAGGCAGCAGGTACAGGAGTTTACGCTCACCCCTCACAAGACACTCACCCCTCACAAGACACTCACCCCTCACAAGGCAGGAAACACTCACCCCTCACAAGACACTCACCCCTCACAAGACACTCACCCCTCACAAGGCAGGATCACGTGCCCAGGCAGTAGGTACAGGAGTTTACGCGCCTCCTTCTGCCGCGCCCTCGCCAGGCCGCCGCCGCTGAAGTACTCCTGCACGGCCTCGTACGTCCACCTCATGCGACAGTTCGCTGTGTCTTCCTGCACGTTATGTGTTAATTCATACATGAATAACGTGCCGATGCGTTAATTCATACATGAATAACATGCCGATGTGTTAATTCATACATGAATAACATGCTGATGTGTTAATTCATACATGAATAACATGCTGATGTGTTAATTCATACATGAATAACATGCTGATGTGTTAATTCATACATGAATAACATGCCGGTGCATTAATACATACATGAATAACATGCCGGTGCATTAATTCATACATGAATAACATGCCGGTGCATTAATTCATACATGAATAACATGCCGATGCATCAATTCATTTATGAAAAACATGCCGATTTTTACGTTACTTATATGCATTTAAATTGGATTTTTACTCCTTAAAATTCCTCTGAAAGTTTGTGCTTCTAACGGAAACAACAGAAACAAGCGTAGGCCAATCTTAAATTTACCTCTTTTAAATAATATTAGTAGAAACGGTAAAGAAATGCGGTTAACAAGCAACTCTCGGGCAACATATACAAGATTTATTGCTCTTCATCACATCAACATCGACAGTCAAGAGAACAAGCGTAGGTATTACTGAACACCAAAGCTGCGCCAGAAATACATTGTAGAGCATGCAAACTATTTGAAATAAAATTTCTTGTTAATAAAAGTTTATATTATGGCACTGGTATTAGGAATTTATAGATAATAGTTAACAACATTGCGGTGCTAGTCGCCCACCTCCAAGACTGAGCTAGGTGCAAGTGAAAAGAAATGGCCATATGAATGAATACCCATCGTTACTTCTAGAACAACGTAGGGTGAATACGGTAATTAAATACGGTTACGGTAATTGAAGTGATTAATGAGCAATATTGTGCAGCTAATTGATCTAAAAAGAGAGCTCATTTTTAAAAAATCTGTCGGTCTAAGGGCTTATGAGACTTCGTTGCTCTTTGAAGAGAACTCTATGTAGAAAAATTAGGCAGAAAAATAACAATACCGTTTTTTTGGCGGGAAATGATGCGTGATATATCGGCATGAGAGAATAAAGGTAAAGATCAAGTAGAACATCTTCATGTGAGAAATAACAGGAGTGCTCTCGACAATAACACATTGCGTAAGCACATCAACACTATTAAAAATCTATGTAACAACACATCAATGTAAGAGCACCAACATCACGATTTCGCAGTCACAACGAGTAAGTCGACTCAAGAATGTCAACATCTCGATTTCGCCATGTAAAATTGACCAGGGGCGCAATTGAATTTAGTTCAATATACTTTGAAAACCCGTCAGTAACTGGCTGACGGAATAACTAACTGCTAACTATTTTTTACTACACTTCTCAATCAGCTTTATTTTTTGTCTGTCTGCTACGGTACAAATCTTTTAATATATTTAATACACTTCTACCTGTTCATTCGATTTGAAACTTAGCACACTCGCTTAAGTCGGAGACAAGGCATGAATCAATTGACAGAATAAAAAATAATACTTTTTTAATATTAAAAAAATAAGTTAAAAATAAAATTATAGATTTATTGTACATGTGTAACATCTGAGACACCGGCCTGTTTACAAGTGTACGTAGTCTTTAAAATGTACTTTTTAAACGCATATTCAAGAGTACAGCCCCTGATCTCTACTAGTAAAAATATTTAATAGTTCTTAACTCCGCCAGCTAATCACTGATGTCTTTCCAAGCTTAACCAACCAAACACAGACAATTTAATAATCGGCTATACTACGTACACTTAAGCTAGTTTTAGTAATACGGCCCTATGCTTTTAGGTGCTTCTGTCACCACGAGTCTTATTTAAAAAGCTTCTCCTTACATCAAATAAAAGCCTTACTTGCCAGTGGCGCGTAGCGAGGCCGTGCATGGCGGCAGCGTAGCGCCCCAGCAGCGCCGCGTCGCGCGTGTGGGTCGCCCACACCGCGTCAGCGTCTCCTGCAACACGCGCCTTTAAATGACTGGGCCTATACTTTCAAAAAATATATAACTCAGTACTCACTGCAGTGAGTGACAGGGAGCGCATTTTCTCGTCGACGAAAACTTGAGGTCACGGACAGACGGACGGACAGACAGACGGACGGACAGGCAGACAGACGGACATGGCGAGCACAATAGTGCATTTTTAACATAAATGAGAGAAAATGCGCTAAAAAGTTAAGAGATCGTAAGTTCATCAGCCAATCATTGACGACCTTTCAAGCAAAATCCACCAATCATAGACTTTTCAGCCCATACCCCCAAAAAAGTCAAGAGATGGTAAGTTCATCAGCCAATCATTGACGGCCTTTCAAGCAAAATCCATCAATCATAGACAAGAAAATAGAGCGCACGTACTTACGTTCACGTAGCGAGTTTTGAGAGCAAGGCCCCTGGTCTTGTTCCTGGAGCTAAACGCAACTTGTAATATGAAATGATCGTGGTCATGAGGAATTTTTGATGAAAGAGGTAGCGAAAATAACGGAATATCAGCGCAAATATCAGCATCTCTGAAGTTAACGCAACTTTTAATATGCAATGATCGTGGTCATGAGGAATTTTTACGCCCGAGATAACGACAAAAAGCGGATTATCAACCTCAGATTACATATATTTAAAATAACACACACTTTTTCCGTTAAAAGTTAACAGTCTAACATGAGATCACAAACTTAAGACTAACAAATTTGACAAATATCCTTCAAGAATACCAAGAATCGAAACTATAAATACTTTAACCGACGTACATCATGAAAGGTCCGATTAATTCACAGCTCGTGTAAGTAATGCATGACGCTGTGAGCACTCATTCTTCAACACAGTCAAACAAAAGCTGGTACACAAGCAACACAGAAGTGTTCTCACTCACCGTGTATGGAATTGTGCCGCAGTGTCCGGTGAGTAGTCTTGATGATCTCTGCAAGTTCTTTAGCAGATTTGCTTTGCAAGTCTTCCATTTCAGCTTAGCTATCAAATATTTTTAAATAAATAAAATTCTGAAGCAACAGTTACATTCGCTATTTGGGGAACGAACAATTCGATTTTGATTAACGAATTTACGCGAAGGAAAGTTCGTAAGACGCGAGGTTCATTACATTTTGTCGCGTCAAGAATGAATGAATGCGAGGTTAATTTCAGTGACTGTCTTTTTCACATAAAAAGTCACTGGTCACGAGGAGAGTGGGCTCGTCGGGATGCCCTTAGGAAAACAGCATGTGCAAGAAGTGATGGTATGGGTTATAAAGCATTGGAGAACAACGTATTGACCGTTAACTATGTGGAGTAGCAACTTGTGTGCTGAAGCAGTGTTGGTTTAAAGTTAGTGTGGTGAGATAGGTCAATTGACTACAGCTGCTTAGGTGCCAGGATGACAATACCTATAGCATTTAGATGGTTGATATTGGCTCCAGGGCTGATTTGAGCGTTAATTTGCTGGTCTACGGCTGCGCACCCGGCTCGTCGAAGAGGATTCAGATGTCCTGTAATGATGTTTCAGACATCTGAAATGCTTCATTCTCTTCCAATTACTAACTGGTAATGCATCCCTAACTACTGAAGTGATCGGGTTAGTTTAGCATTCGTTTGATTAGAACGGAACTGATAGTGAATTTTGCGTTGGAAGATACGAATTGACTTTTGGCAACACGATTTTAATCATCGTGAGACGACTGTATCGTAATAATGACATCAATACAGCATGCCCAGGTCTGATTACCTGGAGAATGTGGCCAATAGATGCAATAACAACGCATTAGGTGTGAACAACGAAAGAATTAAGTTCAATAAAATGAACGACACCACACTTTAAAGGATCTCTATAGATATTCTGGGATTTTTATAGACCCTCTGGGGTCGTTATAGACCCTGTAGGGTTTATAGACCATATGGGATCCTTATATATCCTATGGGCTTTAAATAAACACTTCGTCACCTAGTAACTGCGCGTGGACTGTTCTGTATCACGTCACCACAACAAAGAACGACCGTGCCAAAATACTGGCTAATTCCACGGCAGCATAAGGCTCTCAACATTGCAAAATTCTCTATTATCAAGTACAGAAAACTTTATATGAACTAAATTCTGATTCAGTTGGCAATAAGTGTATATTAGTAAAAAAAATAGGATAGAAAAATATTTGTGGGGGAAACCATTTCTGCATTCACCCGAATTTAGTGAGGTATTCTTCTTCAAACAATAGCCGACCAGGTTTGAGATAACTTTGCGACCACCTAGGCAAATTAAGCGACATATGAGGGCAAATAATAATAATATTGATAATAATAATAAAAATAATAATAATGATAGAAATAATAACTAAAATATAGCAGACAGCAACGTGCCGCAGGGGTGCCCAGGGAAAGCTGTCATTCCCTTAGACGCAGTAGCGTCTCCCTGAGGTCGAGTCCTGCTGTATTAAACATATTTCTCGTGTAGCTCTTCCCGCGTCAATTATCATGGATATAAACAAATAGAGATTACGATGATTACTCACGTTTAACGCCTTAATAATATTTGTACCGTTAGTTGACAAATTTCAGATTTACCATAATTTAAAAGCAAAGAAAACCCCAAGTAACTACCCATATCTTCGTTGATTTTTTTTCCCGAAAATTAGTACGAATATGAGTTACAAACTAAAAATTTACGAATTTAAGTCTAATCATTTGTATGATCAATTTTACAGACAAGAGATTGCAAAAACCTAAAAAGCATAAAGACGCGCGCATTGATGTAAAAACCTACTAAATTATTTCAAAACTTTTCTCAATAATGCTCACAGTTCCTATCCGCTCGAAGTTGTTCAGTATATCAATATAAAGATATGGTGCATTAACTTGTGTTTTCTTTGTTTTTCTTTCATTTCAACTCAAAAATAATTGTTTATCGCTTAAAAGCGCCTTCACTCGACGCCGGATACAAAGATAACTGATGGAGAATAACGAGCTATATATCAAAAGTGCATTATAAATACCGTACAAGTAATCATAGCTACAAATATTACACGAATATTAAACGCGATAGCCTCAAATGAAAACTTTAATCCATCAATGGAAACAACGCTCTACTCTGGCTTCTTGCATCAATGCATGTAAGTTGGTGCGACGAAATCTAATTTAAATCTTTCTTCAAAGCTCCCGATTACATTTCCCTCTGGAAGTAAGATTTAAATCTCGGAACTTTAATGTTGCTGTAATAGAATCCTGAAACCTCGGCAGAGAAACGAAGTTCGAGGTCATTCAAAAGAGCACAATATCCCTGTGAGATTATTATTAAAATACGTTAAATAACGAATTCTATCTAAATAATATGAAATGAAATAATATATCACAATTATTTGCTGGTTGATCGATAAAAATACAAAATGATGGTAGAAAATATACTGATAGGAGGAAGATTGGGACCATCAAAATGACGTACATCTTACGTACGATGTTGAGGGCTGTCAATAACATGCAACACCATCTTCGACAAATATTTTCGCAAGTTATATTTCCTTTCAGCATTGAAAGTAATTTTGCACATAAAATAAATACGGTAGAGCTTCAGTAGGTAGAGCTTTGGTAATTGCTTTGCACCTCATAAAAAATCGCTCAATACAAAGGACTTAACTCTTGACAATTCAAATGGAGCAAAGGCAAATTTATTTAGGAATCGCTCAATACCCTAAACAAAGTATCTAACTCTCGACATTTTAAATGCAACAAAGACAGATTTATTTAGGGATCGCTCAATACCCTAGACAAAATACCTAACGCTTGACAATTCAAAAAAGAAAAAAAGACAGATTTATTAAGGATTAGCAGAGGGCAGAGCATTTTCCTTTCAGCATTGAAAGTAATTTTGCACATTAAATAAATAGAGCTTTAGAAATTGCTTTACATCTCATACAAATAAATCGCTCAATAGGTACCTGAAATGTAGGGCCTAACTGTTGACATTTCAAATGGGACAAAGACAAATTTATTTAGGAATCGCTCAATACCCTAAACTAAGTACCTAATTCTTGACATTTTAGAAGCGAAAAAGACAGATTTATTTAGGAATCGCTCAATACAAAGGACTTAACTCCTGACATTTTAAAAGCGACAAAGACAAATTTATTTAAGAATCGCTCAATACAAAGTACCCTAACTCTTAACATTTTAGAAGCGACAAAGAGAGATTTATTTATTATTAGCCGAGGGCAGAGCAGGCAAGGCCAGCGTCGCGGAGACGAGGTCCGTCATGACAGGGAACGTCACGTCGACGTCCAGGAGCTTCTGCTGCGCCCACAGCAGCAGCTTCAGCAGCTCGCTCAGCAGCGGCGACGTCTCCTCGAAGTTCTCAGCTTTTAGGATAGCGGCGTTAAGTTCAGACGCGACCTGTTACAATAATACAACAACCCAGCACTTAATGAGAGTACCAACCCAGCACTTAACGAGAGTCACAACCCAGCACTTAATGAGAGTCACAACCCAGCACTTAATGAGAGTCACAACCCAGCACTTAATGAGAGTCACAACCCAGCACTTAATGAGAGTCACAACCCAGGACTTAACACATTTATTGATGTCAACTGTGTAATGCTACAAGGAATATACCGGATAGTTCAACTATATTACGGTAATTCGCCAGAGTTGAATTATATATAATAATAGCGGCCTGTCGCCGATTCGTAACATCACAGAACGTTTACAGCTTGATGTGTTCTCGAACTCGCAACTCACTGCTACAATTCAGCTGTGCTTAACCGCCCGGCCTCTTCGCCGATTCTAACAAGAAACTGGCACACAGAGCTGGGATCGAACCCGCGCCTCTCTGCGCCAATCTTGGTACTCTGAACTGTAACCACTGGGCCACCCTTATAAGTAAGTACCGGTATAGGATCTATCAATGTCGTGGCCATCACACAAAAGTTTCCTAAGGCACTGCAATGAACAGATTATCAAGAAATACCGCAGATCACCTGCCATCTGCGTGAGAGTAGGTCTTTGAGACACAGTATTATATTGCTCACAACATTTTTGCAGCATTGCATGAATAACTTTGCATGCAGTCAGTCACAAGCCAATAATAATAAATAACTTCAGCAAATAGTTAAATTAGTTACCTATTATTAGCAAATTTATATGAATAAGTTATTAGGAAATTCATAGAAATCGCAAAAACTGAACAAAAAATGTGAAGAGTATGAGAAATTGGTCTCACTTTTCGTCCAATAATAATAAATAAATTTATTCACCAACATCCTGGTTCAAATTTATTAGCGAAATAATAAAAATGGCAAAAACTAACAAAAAAACTAGTTGAGTATAATAAATTTGTCTCACTTTCTGTCTGTGCGATGGATGAAGGATGTCAGCAAAAGTTAGCAAATTCATAGAAATTACAATTAGAAGAATATAACACAAATTTGTCTCACTTTTTGTCTGTGCGACGGATGAAGGAGGTCAGCAAAAGGGGAAGACAGAGGCTGCGGGAAGGCCAGCAAGGCAAGAGTTCGCTCGAGCTGCTGCCGCACGTTGGGGTCAGACGCTCCTCTCTCAGCCAGGTGCTCCTGCGCGTATATAACGGCTTCCTCCACACGCCCTTCACGGATCAGCTCCAGCAGCACCAGTTGCTGTTGTATGCACAAATATTCCGTTTATTAACATAACATAACATAGCATAACATAGCATAACATAACATAGTGATGTCGGCGCTGAAGTGTAGGCCTGATGTGGCCTGTCGCCGATTCTTTTCTTAGGATCAGCTGCAGCAGCATCAGTTGCTGTTGTGTACACAAATATTGAGTTTATTGATCTTACTTTAGCTGCTGAGTGATTAAAATAAATAAGAAGGAGGCGCTTTACTTTCCACTTTTATCTCATTGGACTGCAATCGTGGTATGTGTTTTATTGCTGGTTAATGAATATAAATAGAAAATTTTGCTATGGCAAAACTAATTCAGATTCAAATAAAAAGCCTTTTGGGGTTTTTTGTCAAACTAAATTTGTCATGAATAATTCATAACCATGTATTTTAGTCCTACTGATGTAATAATTCAGCAATGCTGAAGACTTCTTCAGTCTTATCCTAATATTTTCATTGGTACAAATAAAAAATCACCAAAACAGAGAATTTGTTACCTGTGAAATATTTATTTTGTAATGGAGAAGAGAAATTAGTTTCATTAGGATTCGTGCCACCTCGACTATTTTGTATTCAAGCAAACTCCAAAATACATTCTTCCTTTGAACACATTTGAAAATGGAAAGCCTTCAAGCTATTTCTTTCACAAACACCTATTTTTACCTCTCATTCCCTTTGTTATAGCTACTTATTTCCAGCTGTATAAGTAGCAAAAATCCAGTTGCAAAGATAACGGACAGCTACTACATCTCTCAGTTATTTTCATATCAATATATATAAGCTTCCGTTATTTAGCATTACGGTATATGCAAGGCTTATATTGTAATAGCCTTATATATCAGTTCCTATTCAAGCACTCCTACTTAGCAGTTTTTGTGTCAAGCACTCCTGCTTCAATTTCATGAGACTGGACCCCAGTTGAATGAAGCTTGGATTGCCCAAAACATTCTAATTCTTGAACACTCAGCCTTCTAAAGAGATAGGAAAATAAGTAAACTTTCACCTGCAGATGGAAATAAAGCTCAGAATTATCGTCCAGAATTTCTGGATGCAAGGTAGTGACCATCCTCATGGCCTCTTGTATGCTGCCAGCTTGGATGGCAGAGCGGATGCGGATACGCTCATCCATGAGACTGAGGTCCATAGGCGCAGTGACTCCTGCTTCCACTGCAAATTTCTCTGCCGCTTCTTTGAATCCCTCTGCAGCGAAAGAGAATTTGATGACAAATAAGTTGTATTGTAAAAATCATGATTTTAAAACCAATTAAACAAAATGCTTCAAAACATTTCTGCCTCATAGAAGAAGCTGTAAAATAGAATGAACTCTTTGTCTCAGGCTTCCAAAACAAACATTTTTCTTTATAGTCAAATCAAACAAAACTATTTAGAAACCTTCTTAGCTTAGCAGCCAAAGCCAATGAACAAATTCCACTGACAAAGTGAAAATTTTGAAGCAGAAATAAAACAAATATCTGACAATATAGTATTGTCATACCTAGTATAATAGTATTCTTTCTTTTATAAGTGGTGAGATCATCCAATATTTTGGATGATTAAAAAAATGGCATGTTTAGGACTATGAAAATCAACTAGCTAGGGCAAGGGTACAACTATCACCAGTTGAAGACGAAAATATTAAAAAAATAAAATAAAAAATTAATTAAAATATTTAAAGATATTAAAAAAATAAAGGTTAGTTTCATCACCTGTTACTAGATAGTTCATGACCAAATTATTCATGTATGTTCTTTGAAGTGTGGTCTGACTATTCTCTTCCGTCCATTGTTTGATGTCAGCAGCTTGAGCTCCATCCAAGGAGACGTTCATGTCTTCTGATGAATCTGAATTGCCCCGCATGTCGTAGTTGTTTAACAATCTTCTTAAATACCTGGGGAACAAAATTAATCAGGTCAATCATAAGTCATGATTTTGAATTTTTGAACTTCACAACTCTAGCAGCCAGCATAAGTGTTAATTGAATGCATGAGGACTTAATTGAATATAATTCAGTAACCAGGGTTTGTTACCAGGTGCTTAATTTCAGGACATGTACAACGCTGAGCATGCCATGAAATAGTGCTAGTTCAATGATTATTCTAATTTAATATCAAAAGATAATGCTGTAAATAAGCCCCATGAAATTCATACTCCTCTCATGTTATGAAGAATCCAATTCCTAGGTATTTCTAACATAAAATGCATTACTCAAAAGTCTGACAGTTACAGTCATGTTAGTTGTCAGACAGCAAGCTATCACAAACAGCAATGAAATTATGAATATTTGATAAAACAAAACAAATACACTCACACAAGTTGAAATTTGTTTGCAGTGCAGCAAAATTCAGTCGTTCATAATCTTGCAAAATTAGAGATATGACGCCAAACCCATTACATATAACAGTTTGAATATTGTCTTATATTACTGTCAAACAGGGTAATAAGGGATGGTTTTGAGCGTTTTTCCTCAATAATTTCTTACCATGAAACATTTCATAAACCAGTTTAGTATCATTTTAAAGGTATTTGCAAGGGCTATCATATGGCATCTCTGAAAAAATTCCATGCTAAGAATTTAAAAGCAAAGAAAAGTCCACAAAAATTCATATCTTTATAGAAAACGTTTCGGAGACCAGCTCCATCGTCAGTTCGAGCCAAACCCATTACATATAACAGTTTGAATATTGTCTTATACTACTGTCAAACAGGGTAATAAGGGATGGTTTTGAGCGTTTTTCCTCAATAACTTCTTACCATGAAACATTTCATAAACAAGTTTAGTATCATTTTAAAGGTATTTGCAAGGGCTATCATATGGCATCTCTGAAAAAATTCCATGCTATTCGTAAGGTGCCAGACGCAAATTAATAGCCTCCTGAACTAACCCTGGGAACGGGGTAAAAAGGGACACTTGAAGTAAAACTTAATTTAAAACGTTTGAAGCATGCAGAGTGTACTCATCCATTACTAACAGTGCTCTGAAGTTCTCCTCTTCCTGTTCAGATAATGTAGATGTAGAATAAATGACATTTTCTGTGATTTTTACTTGTTTTTCTTCTATTGATATGATATTAACTTATCCATACATTACCATATTATTGATGTGATATTACCTTATCGCAACAGATGCCATTGAGCATTGACAACAATCTTGTTGTTGCCGGCACTATGGAATGCTTATGTTGGGTTCTTTAGTCTCTGGCAACAATTTAGGTGAATGAAAGTTTCTTCTGGATATTGATGTATTGTTAGAGTATGGGCCGCAATTACAGATGCAGTCACAAATGGAATGAAATGTAACCAGACATTGGGAGCATGAATGAGGTATTTGAGCTGTAAAAGATAAAACATATAATCAATAAAAGTGAAATCAAATAAAAAGAACCTCACTCACAGCAGTTAATCAAAACCAAAAACCTTTAGCATTGACATAACAATCAAGCAGCAAGCGGTAGTTTCAGATCAGAATATAATTGATAAGATCAACACACAAGAGTATTTCAAGACATTAAAGGTAAACCAAGGTAAATGGACACTATTGTAACTGTGGTAATAACTGCGACTTATTGGGTGAAACACATAATGAACAACAGTTTGGTATTCACTAATAAAAAAGTAAGCATTGAAATTGAAGGATTTAAACAGTAAAGTTATTGAAGTGAATCATATAAACAGCTCGCTATTGTGCAATTTATGTTCTTGAGATTAAAAGCAAGCATTGCAAGAAGTGGATAAATGTATGTGCAAAGTATAAACATAAGCAAGAATGAAATAAATACTGTAGATTATTAAGCTGAATGAACACTAACATACCTGGTTTTAAAACTTTATACAATATGGATTCTAACAAGCACTCACCAAGGCAATTGCAGTTGTCAGAGCATTGGACATCAATCTGCCTGCTTCTATTAGAACTTTACAATGTCACTGATCAAGCACATGCATGAATAATATAATTACTAGAATTTTTACCCATGGCTGAAAAAATAAAGAAAAATGTTTGGTATTGAATTAGAACGTATACATTGAGTGAACAAATGAATAACAGATTTGGTTTGCGATGAAAAATACTGAAATAACCACCTGGCTACATTGTCCACTGCAAGCTTCTTATCAGCAGCAATGTAGCATTTCTTCTGTAACTAAGCTTACAGGACAGCTTGTAATGTTGCTCCACTTTAATTGAATTAAGTGAATTCACTATAACAAAAAAATTGTAAAAACATACCTGAAACAGAAAGGAATATTTTAGTGACAACCATCATATTTTTTCGAGGAAAAATCATAGTTTAGGTTAATTACTTTTCATTCTATGTTGCCCAGAGCACAATTCTATCTATGACATTCTATGCACAATTTCGTGATGACCGATGATGCATTAATATTTTGTCAGGTGAAATTTTTTTCGCTTAGCAAGGTAAATGTAATCAAAATTCTTTGTTAATTGATTTTTTGTTAACTGGAGCCTTTGCTAACCAAAGTTATACTGTAAATGCATTTTTAGGGGTGTCCCTTATTACCCTGGGGGGGTGTTTCTTATTACCCCATCGCATGGAAATGGCCACCAATTTTTTTTTTTGAATGAGCTACACAAATTCTGTCAATCAAGTTTTTAAGCCAACACCTGTTTACTACTTTCATGTAAGTAAAATTTTTTAATAAGGCAAATATTTTTTTGCTACAGACCTTAGCAGAGGTACTTTTCCAAAATCTAACTTTTTACACTTTTTTCCATGGATTTTTTAGAGGTGGTAAATGTATGATTTCTTGCCTTGCTTCATTCTACATAGATAGGAAAAATGTTGAACTTTACAGAACTATTTTTAGTTTGCAATATTTCAATCAGTTTAGGCTTGAAGAAATGGAATCACGGCTGGCAAATCCATAAACCATGGCCCAAAAAATAAAGTTGCAGCACACCAAGTAGATATATTTCATGCTTGCTCACCCCTATTACAAAGAACCTCTTCTCTACTCTTATGCATGCTAGAAATCAAATTCTGAAATCAAATTTCCAGGCCATGATGTCAATTCTTCAATGCTAAAATCTAAAGGAAGCATTTTGATAGCATTGGTTCTGTGCTAAGGAGCTCCATTCATCATGTTTTGGGTTGCTTTTCTCAGTTCAGCTTACAAGAGCACTTCATCTCCTTCCCACAAACACAGCAATGATGAATGAATGCTTTTTGGCACAAAAAAATTCTGACTGATGAGTTGATTCCCTCAATTGACAATCAGTTTCCTGACCAAAACTGAATTTTCCATCAGTGACCATAGTGACATTCTAATTCTTAATACCTTCTAAATGACCATGTAGGTATCTATGTAATTTAGGAGCACGGCGACCAAATACTATAGGAGCGCAGCTACCAAAATAGGAGCGTGGCAACCAAAATAGGAGCGTGGCAACCAAAATAGGAGCGTGGCAACCAAAATAGGAGCGTGGCAACCAAAATAGGAGCGTGGCAACCAAAATAGGAGCGTGGCAACCAAAATAGGAGCGTGGCAACCAAAATAGGAGCGTGGCAACCAAAATAGGAGCGTGGCAACCAAAATAGGAGCGTGGCAACCAANCTCCTTCAGCAGTTTGACCTCTAGGGCGTCCAAACTGCCATGGTGAATGGTCGAGACCTTGCTCTCAAGGTATGACCAGATCCCAAAATCCAGAGGATTCAGATTGGGTGATGATGGGGGCCATTCATCTTTGGTAATAAAGTGGGGAACATTCTCGGACAGCCACTCCTGAGTTGATTTGGCCCCATGGGATGGTGCAGAGTCCTGCTGGAATGACCAGGGGCGTTTTTTGAAGTGCTTTTGTGCCCAGGGCAACAATGCACCAACAAGGATGGCATCTCAATAGTTCTTCTGATTCAATTTCACCCCTTTGTCAACAAAAAAGAAGCGACTCCTTGAGGACTCTGTTACGGCTGCCCAGACCATCACTGAGGTCGGGCATTGCTTCCTATCACCACACGGGATCCTTCGTCCCATTCTTCGACCAAATTTGATCATTTTGGGAGTTGAAGTGGTGTTCAACATTGCATATCTTCTCATCACTGAAAACAAGGTTTGGCAGCGTGCCATCATGAATGCGGGAAAGAAGAATCTTGGATTGTTGGAGGCATTTGTCAACAACTTGAGCAGACAGTTGGTGTTTTTTGACATGCTTGAATGGGGACAACTTTAGGTCCTTCCAGAGAACAGTCCACATGGTTCCATACAACACATTTGACTGTTCTGCGAGTGTATTGATTTTGAAAAAACAATGTAACGCTAAATATTGATGACCCTATATATAGATAGATACAGACAGACATACATACAATACATACATATATAAATGACCAGTGATGTGTGTATGTACATACAGACATATGCAGGAGACGTTACATAGCACTGCATGACCTCTGCTTGTTTCCTGCCCTTTTGTGATCAAGCCAATCACATCAGTCAGTCGTACCACACCAGGCCAATGGTATGCATATCACAGTCGTATTCTTATATGGTATGGTATGTATACACCACTGATGGTATGATGTTATGATGGTATTCTAAACCTTCAATTGTTCCAAAATTTTGACAGCTGCTTGCTTACGATAACGTGCATATTTTTGTCCCAGCCGTTGCAGTCCCTTCAGCATTAATTTCTTTCTATGCTGTTTGTTTGATATAAAAATATATACATTTTACAGATACATCTGCATGATGTCATGGCTTTGTTGTTAAGAGTATATTTTCTTGTAAGCCTAATGTGTACATTAAATTTATTATCCCTCTAGAATTCCACACTGCTTGTAAGAATTTGTAAGAATATTAAACAAAAGTTTTAAATATTTGTTACTAGGTAATTAGAATGAAATACTGATTTATGGTGTAATAATCAAGAAACTATAATCAAGAAACTATAATCAAGAAACTATAATCAAGATAATTAATTATTATCTCAATTGTGAGGTATGAATAATAGCAGTAGTTTGTAAATATTTTTTTCAAGATGTATTACGTTAAGAAGTTTCAAAGAATGCTTTGATTGTATAGGATGTATGGTATTTAGAAAATAATTGAAAATATGAAAGACTGCAAATGCAAATGGTAAAGCATCGAGCCAAATCTCTAAGCATTGATTACCAATCTTCCATGATCAATTGGAACATGTGTCTAAAAAACACATCGCCAGCAGAGTTATAGATAGACACACATTGGCGGAGATGGGCTTGCCGTAATTTGATTGAATTGAAAAATTTGTACATATGTATGCACATACATACAGTTTGCCTCGTTAGATGCAATTATTTCACAGCTACACAATGAGATCAGAAAATGGCTAAGCTTTTTTATATACTTAAGATACCGTAGACCCTAGTCTTAAATAATAGTCATTCAAGTACGTATTTATCATCGTAGAATTATCACTATTCATCGGGAAATTCTGAAAATTATCCTGTATTTAGTGTTTGGTATTTGCTAATAATTAATTGCTAGGTTAATTTTTTAAACCAAAATTAATCGCTAAACTGGATAAAATATAAGATTTGTAACAATTCCCGTTTTTGGATACAATAAGAATACAAGGAAATTAGACAATTTTAATTAACACTCAAAGACATATTTGGTTAGTAATGACACTTTTCTCCACTACAATTCGTTTCTTTGTGTAGGTAGTTCCTAGTTTAAATAAAGTAATTTACATGCATTGATCTATTGGAGTAACATTAATTGTGCATGCCAAGTTGAAGCCAGTATTTTATAGTGGCCAGTTTTATGCTCTAGGAGTGTTACTTTAGTTTGAAGCTCAATAATTGCTTGTGATCCTACTGATTATTGTCATCCAAATTATACTTATTAGTCAGCTGGGATTTTTATTATGACTTGCACCTCTCGTACTTCTTCATTGGTTTGGGAGATATATCATGGACTGGCCGAGAGCTAAAACTTACTTTATATTAGAATTCGATTTGCTTTGGATTTGATTCACTCAGGATTTGGCAACTTTTCACCTCATTTGTAATGTTAAGCTTTTATTTACATTGCAAAATAGATTGATAACTGAAGTGCTTGTAGACACTTGGCCATTGAACTAAACTTGTCTGGATTTAGCAGTACAAAAAGTAGCTTCTATATATTTTGTGTTACGATGCATTGCATTCAGACTTTTCTAAGAACTATTTGATTCAAGTGGATTTGTTGTTGAAAAGAATTTAAAATCTAACTGACTACCTTCATACGGGGTAATAAGGGACGGTTTTGAGCGTTTTTTTTTTTTTGTTAATAACTTCTTACCCATGAAACATTTCAGAAACGAGTTTAGGCTCATTTTAAAGCTCTTTGCAAGGGCTATCGAATGACATACCGGTATCAAAAAAATATCCATATGCTATACATGAGGCGCCAGACACAAAATAAAAGCATCCTGAATTACCACTGGGAACGGGGTAATCTGGGACACTTACAATAAAACTTGATTTAAAAACGTTTGAAGCATGCAGAGTGTACTCATCCATTACTAATCTAGGTTTTTTTTGCTCCGGAGTGCCACAGTGTGCCTGCTGGAGTGCTGGGGCTAAATGCCCAAGGGTTTACTCAAAAACCACCATGTACAGCTAAGACAAATGTTATTGTTGCTGTTTGACTGTTTTAGGGTAAAATTATAGATTTGGGGTAACACGTGCATGGACTTTGTGAATCAATTTATGCCTCATAAATGGCTTTTCATGGCCGAGATATGGAAATCACAGCTCAAAAAATTAGAATCACGGCTCGAAGAAATGGAATCATGGCTGGCAAATCCATAAAACTAAGGCTCCAAAAATTCAGTCGCAGCTTGCCAAGTAGATATATTCCATGGAATCCATGCCTGTTCTGGCAGCAAAAGCAACAACTATAGAAGACAGCTGGCAACGTTTAGGGCAGAAAATTCATATCTTGGCGATGCTGCTTGCAAGTTGCAAGCTCTGCACCGTGCACCTTGGCTCCCCATCCTCATGTCAGTCATCAGTCATGTGTGATGTGATTGTGAGGAGTGCTCTGGTCATCCTGTTCTAGCTAAATGACTGCCCACTTCCTGGCATAGTGACAAACCAGAGCTTTTTGGGAATCAGTTCATTTTTAATTTCCTCAATAACTCAAGATTTATACCAATTTCTTATGTATGATAATGCAGGTATCGAGAATACTTTACTGGTCTACATATAGAACTCAAAAATGAACTTGAAAGAGAGTCTAAAAAACTTTCTGCTTTGCCAGTGCCACTATGCTTCCTGGAACTTCCCAGTTCCCACTTCCTGCCTACTTCGTCCATGTCTATCACAATGGATCTATTATTGGACCATTCACACCACTGTGCAGAGGGTGGATGCAGCGTCGCCAATATATGAATTTATAAGCCCAAAGCGTCGCCGGCCATTTTAAAGATGCGTCGCCGGGTAATTTTTAATAAAAAGCCATTTACGCTGAGTAATGACAAACTATTTACAAGCCACGAACTTATTTACAAGGTTGCATGCACGTGTTACCCCAAATAACTAATTTTACCCTAAAAACAGTCCGATTGTACAGCAAGTGTCAACTGAACATGTAATAAAGCAGTCTGACCGCTCTAATGCTGTCTCTTATACACATCTAGATGTGTATAAGAGACAGGCACTGGACTTGCTGCGATAGTTACAGACTTACAGAATCATCGACATGACTGCATTACGAAGATTAGGTAGTCGTATGATTAGGCGAGTTCCTGCTTAGACTGCAATCGCTCTAGTAGTTAGGTTTGAATATTTAAACCTGTGTTATGGCGATAAATAGAGATCCGAAACAGCCACGATATGGAAAATACTACTATGAAGCACAGTTTCTTTAACACCATACGTAAAGTTTGTGGGTAACATCAATTAGGTAGTGGGCAAAACTTCATTTCCGTTGTAGAACATTAAAATATAGTTTGGAACTAAGCTCTGCGACTAACGAAATCGGGACCAAAATGTTTGCGAAGCCTGATATTCAAACTGATATTAATTTTCCATTTCCACAAATACTGAGATATACTAAGACCGCTGAATGCAACATGAAAAGCAAAGCGAGGATTATACCTGTCTCTTATACACATCTAGATGTGTATAAGAGACAGCCGGAAACCTTACTTTTTTTGTAAATAGTTGGCTGAAGACTGAGAAATATATTAAATGCAAGAATTTCAATCTAAATGTGTTGGCAAGATCTTCTGAAGGCGAAAATTTTGCCGATAATGCGTCGCTGTAGGTCTTTAAAAGTTTAAATCTTCGTTCACTCTCTGCACAGTGGCAAGACATTCTGGCTCAAAGCACTCGGCCACTTGCTTTTCATCTTCTCACTCTCACACCCCGTCTTTGCCAGAAAAATACCTAAATAATTCAAGTTTCCTAATTTTCTTTTAGACTTCATTATTGAATGCCAGTAATGTTGAAAAATCACTTGCCAAAACCCAAAAACACAATGCCATTATGCCATAGTGGCAAACCAGTGATTTTTTTAGAATCAGTTCATTTTTAATTTCCTCAATAACTCAAGATTTATACCAATTTCTTATGTATGATAATGCAGGTATCGAGGATACTTTACTGGTCTACATATAGTATATAGAACTCAAAAATGAACTTGAAAGAGAGTCTAAAAAACTCTCTGCTTTGCCACTATGCATTATGCCATATGCCACAAAAGTTTCAGCCATAACTGTACTAGGCTATGTGACTAGTATTTCTATTTGTATCACAAAAAAAGTGATTGCTGAATATTGTCCAAGTCACACAGTATAACGGTACATGAACTGTGAACACTGAACATGATGAAGTGATGAAGGGTCTTCTTAGTTCTGACTTCTATTCATTTTATGATTTCGCCGCTGCCCGCTACGCCGGCTACGGCTAATGTAATTATGTAAAGTTCGTTCAATAAAGTAAATTGTTGTAATAACTGTCATCGGACGTGATAAAAAAAACATATACACAATGCGGTGATTCAGAAAATGAATAAGGTAATTCAGAAAATGGATGAGATCATGAGAGAATTAGGATGAGAGTAATTCCGAGCCTCCGAGGGATGGCGGCATGGAAGATTGGAAGGAGGAGCTCGTGTAGGGAGAGAACCGGGTTAGCAGAAGGAGACTTGAAAGTTGAAGGAGACATTTATACTGCACTGCAAATAGGAGCTCACCTCTTGAGAGTTGAGTCTTGACGAACAATCGTCCTAACTCGAACCTGGGTTGAAAGAAGTTAGACAAGCAACTAGCGAATGTCGGGTCCTTTAAATTGTCGGACGAGTCGATTAGAATGAGTCTGATTCTCAGACAACGGAATAGCCGAAAACACCTCAGACGGCAGAACCAGCTAGAGGAGGTCCGGCAACTATTATGAAGGATACCCAGACATAACCTTGTTAGGTAACTCATGTTTGAACTGATGCATGTGTTAGTTCAGTCATGAACGCGTTCAAGAACAGACTAGATCAAGCCATGGAAAAATATATGTTCAGATTTGAAATGCCTAGCACCATATCGAACCCGGTGTAAGTCTAGTAGCTATTTCAAACTATCGTCAGTCCTGAAAAGATCCGGTCTAATGACACGATTTCAGATCTTCTGTGGACAAGGCACGAAAAGTAGAAGAATCGGCGACAGGCCACATTAGGCCTACACTTCAGCGCAGACATCACTATGTTATGTTATGATGTAACTTACGTTGATTGCCGGTAGTTATTCCAGATTTCCAGGTCCATACGGAAATACTTGAGCGCAAAAAGAAGGAAAACATCGATTGAAGATGTAAAGTTAGGTCAACTGTCAAATTACCTCGCCCATGTTAGAGACTGCGTAAAATCAGGTGATTTCATTAAACTGGGCATTCCAAAAGAATTTTTGTTGGAAAATGATTGAGGCTTCATTGAAATCTTCGCTATGCAACAATCCATTTGAAAATTAGCCAATATTTTCTTATTTTAACACGGTTCATTTCGAAATTATATACTGAGCGTAGTGACCAGGAAAAATTCGATGTTCGGCCAGCAATCATGTACAACGTATTCATATCTAAAGTTGACGCTTCGCGCATGTAGATGAATGTACGCCCGACAGAAAATATTCACTAATGCACAAGTGCATATCCAGGTACACATCTGCTAGCGAGCAAAGACCACTTTTTTTAGTGGTAACAGAGAAGAAATTAAGCTTGAACAGGAAAAATTGTGTGCGATAGTGCGTGCGTAGAAGAAGAACATGCATATACTAAAGTCTTGTTAAATTTGAGGATTCTATGTAGTAAAAATACACTGAAGTATTATTGCGGCGTCCCTGGTATTACACTTAAATTCGGCCAAATATCTCGGGTACGGGAATTACTTTTGTTTTTACTAATAAAATGCATCAAATATTTAATACTAATAAAGCGGTTTCAGCGTTTATTAGGCTGTTGGCCTGTCGCCGATTCTTAACATCACAGAACATCGACAGTTTGTTGCGGTCTGGAACTCACATTTCACTGCTCTAATTCTGTTGTGCTTAACCGCCCGGCCTCCTCGCCGATCCTCGCCCAGAGCTGGGATGGAACCGGCACCTCTCTGCTCCACTCCTGGTACTCTGTCTCGTGAACTATAACCACTGGGCCACCCTGCCTCTACTACTCGGCCACCCTGCCTCTACTGCTCGGCAGGCCACCCTGCCTCTACTACTCGGCCACCCTGCCTCTACTACTCGGCCCCCCTGCCTCTACTACTCGGCCACCCTGCCTCTACTACTCGGCCACCCTGCCCCTACTACTCGGCCACCTTGCCCCTACCACTGGGCAACCCTGCCTCAAGAGATAACTTATTTCAATGCTCTAAATTAAGAGCAACATATCGCATAAAAATATCATGGAATAGTGTTGGCAGTTGGTTTTGACACGCCAGGAGACAGAATATACATATATTGAGTTCCTGCTATGCTATTGTAACTGTTCAATGATCACTCTTTTAAAACATGTGGTTAGGATGAGCGAGGAAAAGTTATTTTTTATGTTTTAGTTCACTTCACTTTATCACATAATATCGCATAGGCCCGTGAAGGCAGTACCGTATTGTTCGTAAAGCGCCTGGTCAGGTTTAATCAGAAGCTGTGAAGTGGTGGCTTTTTGGAATTTGACTGCTTATCTTAAATATTACGAGCTAAAAGTTTGAAGGGCTCTGGAGGACAGGAATTGGTGTGTGGCCGTGCATCAACCTTCGTTCAAACCTATAAATCGGCGAACAAACATTTCGTCACTGAAAAAATTTGCACTTCATAAGGCGGCTGACTAATGTGACCTTGTTCTCTCATACCTCACTTTTTCACTCTCACACCTCTTTCAGAATCACCTTCATCATAGCGCGTCACACATACATGGAGCGTGTCATATAGTTTCTTTTTTACCCCGTCATTTATAAATCACTCATCTCCTCTCACATCCCCTGTGCACGTTACACAGTATACAGGTGGACGTATGTCCTAACTACTAGTGTATCAGCTCTCACACAAGACCGTAACTCCACAAGTCATCATACATGCATTCACACTCTGTCATCGCTTCCTTTTAGTGTAGTTTAAGAGTATCTTTGCTTTTAATTCCGTTGTGCTTCTAAACTTCAACCCGTATTCCTTCATTCTCTTATTTATTTATTTTTTTACAACATTGAATAACCTTATTGTTGTTGACGTTGAGTCAACATTGCTTGTTGACGTTGAGCCAACATAGCTTGTTGACGTTGTGCCAACCCTTATATCAGCTGTGTTGACCCTTATGTCAGCTGCTTCACCAGCATGAAGGGAATTTATGTCTGTGACTTCCAGCTCATAGTCACACTGTGGCAGTTCGAAGTCATGAGGATATTCAGTCTTGGAACTTTTCCTCCTCAACGCCTTATTTGCAGTTGAACTGGTATATGCATAGCATAGCATAGCATAGCATTGGCCGAGTTTGCCTGTAGCTGATTCTTATGGTGTGACGCTGGGTGTTTACTCTCATTCTTTCGGTGTACTGGCGATCTAACTAGGCAATGTAATTTGGTTTCCCTTTCTGTTAAAGCATCAGAGGATATTTTTGTGCATATTCTTGCCTCCACGGCTACTGTGAGGCTGACATTCTAATATTTTACCAGCAGCGCATGCAGTATATCCCGCTCGCTACATAGGCTACTGCATAGCGAACGCTGAGTGTTCTACCACCCGCTTTAACTTGTCTTACCGGCTCAATGTTTGCCTTCATTATTGAGAGTTTTCGAATTTTTTCACTCTGATGTAGCCGGGAGGTTATTGAAAGCTTTGTATCGGTGTGTGTTCAGTTTGTAGCGTTCAGAATCCTGTTATTTTGAATACCGTTGCTAATTTAGTATCTAAAATAATGTTAATAGGAGAACGACACGACTAAGCTAGCATTGCATTTTCAGAAGAAACTTAAGATCAGTTTTTTTTAACATAGGTTCGTGTACATGAAATGGACTTCCAGACAATGTCTTAACTACACCATCTCTGAACGCCTTCAAAAACAGGCTTGATTAATTCTGAGGGACCGACCACGGCTCTTCGATCCTGACTGCTACCACTAGCTAATAATTTTCTGAAATCTGAGTAAACAATATGAATCTATATAAGTAAACAAAATGAAGACTATTCATTCAGACAAAATTAATAAAAATTTGTATTCATATCCCCCTCATTCTATTTTATAATGCCTCGAGACTGAGTGAGCTTGAAATCTGATTCAGAGCCGTTTGACAGCATAAATAACAAAAATTTAACTGATCGCACATTTCGTATTATGATACGCACATATATTCACAGCGATCGGTTTATAACGATCGGTTGGCTGGCGCTGATGTATCAAGACGACTCGATCAAATATCTTTCAACTTCAAAAAATCATCAACGAGATAATTGATCAATATATGATATAATAATACTAGCTGTTTCAGCGTTTATCAGGCCGTAGGCCTGTCGCCGATTTTTAACATCGCAGAACATTCACAGCTCGCTGTGGTTTCGAACTCGCATCTCACTGCTACAATTCTGCTGTTTAACCGCCCGGCCTCCTCGCCGATTCTGACCAGAAACTGGCGCGCAGAGCTGGGATCGAACCCGCGCCTCTCTGCGCCAATTGTGATACTCTGAACTTTAACCACTGGGCCACCCAGCATCAAGTGTGAGCAGATGATGCAAAAGCGTCATAAATTGAAAATATTTCACTGACAATTTCGGATTTCTTCTGTAAGCAAGAGTCCAAATGAACTTTTCTCTTTAAATTTGTTTAACTACTGAATTTTCGAGTTCCAAGTCTCTAGCATAAATAATATTTATTAATAATCGATTTCCGTTTACTAATGACAGTTATTGTTTATTGAGAGTTTGCATCAAGAGGTCATGACTATAAATGATGCATAGGAATCTTGAAAATCAAATATATTGATGTTTGAAAAAAAATTCAAATGTAGTTACAATAGCTCACGAATGAGAATGAAAATATTTCGTGCTTCAAAAAAATTAAAATTCGGTGGTTTCAAAACCTCTATCTAAATCAACTTAGAGAGCCTAATAAAACTAATCATGCAGAAGGAAGCCATTTCTTGAATTCGAAAAATTCAGCGTGTCAGGCAGCAATATTAAGCGTAACCTGACTGATTATGTTTCTACTTGAACCTGAAGACAGGGATTCGTTGACGTCATGTGGAACAGCCTCACCGATTACATCGTTGACGCTCCGAGCATAAACGCGCTCAAGAACTGACTAGATAAAACTAGGGATAAATATATCTTCTAACTTGAAATGCATAGCACCATATCGAACCCGGTGAAAGTCAAGTAAATATTTCAAACTATGGACAGTTTGGAAAAGATCCGGTAGAAGAACCTGTTTTTAGATCTCCCATGGACAAGTCACTAAAAGTACAAGAATCGGTGACAGGCCACATCAGGCCTATTCTTCAGCACCGACTTCACTATGCTATGCTAAATGCGTGAGGGATAAGTAAGACGCCATCTGTCTTGATACGGGGTGGCTATAAGTGAGAGTTATGCTAATGATACAAAGGCTAAGACGTCGACCGTTAGGTCGCAGTAGCTCTAACTCGAGTTACAATAAGGCGTGCTTCTAATTGACTGGGGGGCTTTACTAAGGTTCTCTGCCCATTTATATATAGAATTCGTATTTTCGTTCACCGGGTTCTTGTCCTCTTGACACATTTGCTGTATGAGCTGTCGATTCAGCGTCTAATAAGGCAAGCTCTCAGTGACACAGTGGACTCAAAGCTAACTGGGTTTGCTGCTAAACGCATGAGGATTTGTATCCACAAACTAGTCTCGGACGGGCGCAATATGGTCACGAATGAACTTGCATGAGATTGGTCATGATCACTTACACTCAAAAGATTCATATACGCATCCACCAGGCAATTCATCCATCCTGTCCGACTACGAAAATTTAACTTTTATATTTGATTTCTTCTTTTATTTGGCATACATCGCAGATTTTCTCACAATGGTGAATTGCAAATTGCCCGTTTCGATAAAAAAAACATTTCCCGAATGTTTTTTTTCTTGAGTGCCATGCACGAGCTTTACGCTTCTNGAAAAATAAATTCAATGAAATTGAAGCTACGAAGTAATGTCAATGATCATGTCAATGATTTATTTTCAATACTCGTCACGCCTTATGATCTGGTAAGTAAGTAAGGAAGAGCAACATAAGTAACTTCAACGTGGTTAATCAGCATGTTTGACGGACTTTATTTATAATCTGTCTGTACAGATTTTTATCGCATTTTATGAATCATTCGAAATTAGACACAATATAATACAATATACGAGTAATCTAACTTCTGTGTATCATTAAGATCCGAAAAATTCTTATCATATTTATTAGTTAGACAGTCTAGTGTAATAAAAAAGTGTTAAAATTCTTCTATATATTCTTTGTCTGTTATCATTTAGAAATAATAACCTTTGCTCAAATCTAATTCCTATATCCCATCGATTTTCGCCTTAACAGTGAAAAGCTTCTTTGACCATTCAGGGCCTTTTTTTTTGTTTTCTGGATATTCAGAATGATTAAAGTTTTATTGTTAGTTCAGGTTAATTAACAACTTATCTCGCATAATTTACAACTACTATAGAATATAAATATTCCAAAAAACAATGTTGCATTGTTGAATTACCTATATGATTTCCGATTCTTAGCCTAAAAATGTAAATTTCAATCAAAAAGGAAAATACACTAGCTGGGATCTGTTGGAGCAGTTTAAAGGAATTCTTATATGTAGAGGCAAATGCAAGATTTTATTGAGTCGCTACTGAAAGAAAAAAATTTATTTGATTAGGTCCAACACATCCTCTGAAGCAACTAATAATAAAAGACGCCTGAACTCTCGGTTTCCACTTGCCCTGAAACTGCGGTGCCTGCGGCAGCTCAGTCAAAGCCTGCCAGTCGTGTTGTATAAGGACACCGAGATGGCTGCTCTTGCTCTCCAATGTGTTTTTGTATTATGTTTTCTGAATGGTAAGTTGCTTTGTAGCTGCCAACAGAAAGCAGAATTGCATGTTTTATATAGTAATTAAATCGTTGCTAATCTCGAACGATATAGTTTATCGGTTCTTGAGAATTGACGTAGGTGGAAACAGTTTCAAAACATGAATTCTTGCATACAATAAATGAAGTACAATTGTTTTAATCGGCGAGCTGTAAATATTTTCATCACTCAGTGGAAGTTATCACTTGGTGTCCGTGTCGACCTAATTCGTTAACGCCTAATAAAATAATTTGAATGGTGAATGGTGAAAATTTTTCTTTCAAGATTTGAACAATTTTGAAAATTTTTATAAGCAGTCTTTGATTGCTAGGTAACAGACAAAACGAATAATGATAAAACTACTACCAACCTTTCTGAATTACTATTGTGGGGAAAAATGTTTAATAATATCTTTATGAAGTTAAATAAATTAATTGAATTGGCTTTCATACGCAATAATTTTATTGTTTTATTGTTCTTTATTTCGTTAGTGTAAATGTTAAATTTTTCGTTTCGCAGTAGGCAACACTTTTTCGATTGTAATTCCGAAGTGATACGTTGATACATATATAGACAGTTTTGCTAAGCTAATGATTTGAAACTGTAAAATAGTAGTTTTATCCTGATGGTAAAATCATATAATCTCATTTGTTCTCGTTTTCATTGTAATTTAACTCGTCCGTATTTTTATTCCACTCAGGAGTGATAGCGAAGGATTGGAGCTATCACAGTGAGTATGGCTAAAATGTCGAGTTAAGTCTTATTATTATAGCTATTGTTCAATGTGCTATTTAAACATGTAAAGGAAATTTATTTCTTTACTAGATCACATGTCATCGTGCTTTCCTGAAAACTCATGCATTTGGAATGACCTCGTGACTTATTGAACCTACAACGTAATGTCAGTCCAAGCATGGTTGAACTATATAAGGTTGACCCACGAGGATTTCCGTCTTTCAGTTCAGCTTTCTTGTTACGTCACTGAGGCCGAGAAACGTAAACAATGCCGTCATTCCCATAACGGATTGGTTGACTGGTTTGAACCCATTTAGGTGATTGGTTAATGCCAGTGACGTCATTGAGATCAGTGACGTCACAAGCGAACAACAAACTACATACGCAAAAATGAGCTTCTCTTGGGTCAACCTTATATATACTATAGTTCAACCATGGGTCTAAGTACCTGCTGCTTTATGTGTACATATGTTGACGTGGTGCACAGACTGTGGTAAAAACTCTTCGTTCCAACACACGAGATCAAATCCATGTCAATGTCGCCAGATGAGAATGACACGGATGAAAATGAACTTGTGATTTATATGTTACTGTTTGGCGTTAAAATTGTCATCGAAACGCTCGATGTTTCTGGGTGATTAAAGTAGGAACATTATTTGCCGACTAAGAAGAAGCATTTTTATGTGTATCAATACAAGTTAAATGGGACATTCAGTTACTGTAAGATATTTGAGTGTTGTTGGGTTACAATAACTTGAGTTTCGTTTTGGAACTTCACGGAATTTAATTGCTAAATTTTCAATTTCATTCAAATTCCTCTTTGTTGACAGACGTTCGATTTATTTTGCATTTAGCTTAAAATGTAGATTTTATTTAAATTAGAAGGTTCAGTTCATATTAATGCTTAACCACAAATTGATTCACTGCCAAGGTCTTGGGTCGGTAATATATCGCATTAGTCACGTAGTTAATAGAATTATAAGATGCAGACAGTCTTACGAACATGATTATTGGATGTGAACGTGATTACTGTGCAGCAAACCAATTTATAGCTTGAAATGTGTAGAATAATAATAATTTGAATGTGTGGAATAATTCAAGAAGCAACATGAATCCACCAATGCATTAATAAATAATAACAATTAAATTAAAAACAAAATAAAATGGTCTAGGTTTAGGAATTATCAGCCTATATATTTCGCCATAACGTTACGGTAAAGGAATACCGCAATATTGGAGCGAAAATATCAATAAACCAAGTTTAGACTGGAAACGCGTCAACATATTTAATTAAATATTTTTGTTACATATTGATGATCATAACTGAATCGAATCATTTGTTACAAATTTAGGTCCACCTTTCTCGGATGAAACGAAAAACTCTATAGCGCAAGTAAATACCACAATAAAAAACTATAAACGGAAGACAAATCAGACAAATTAACGGAGAAACAACACTTTATAGCACAAATCAGGATTACTTAAAGCCTGATATCAGGATTACTTAAAGCCTGATATCAGGATTACTTAAAGCCTAATATCAGAAATACTTAAAGCCTGATATTAGAAATACTTAAAGCCTGATATCAGAAATACTTAAAGCCTGATATCAGAAATACTTAAAGCCTGATATCAGAAATACTTTAAGCCTGATATCAGAAATACTGATGTTTGCTTGATTCATGGAACAACTCAAATTTCGAATCGCCTTTGAAAATAATTCTAATCTAAGACGAAAAATCTCTAGTGCCGTTTATCGAACTTGGTTTGATCAAATGTGATTTTAATTTATATTGTCTTCGGAATTTTAGTATTTAAAGTGAGAAGGAAAGAATATCTCACGAGGTTTAGACGCATCCGCACTTAAAATCGAACACTGCATGGGAAATTATTAATTTCTAATAAAAAACAACAGATCTAACTATATGAACCTAGGACTTCATTTGAATTGCATAGATACCATTATAAACGAATAATTATTATATAACCGAGCTTTTGGAAGCTGTCACGTCTAGCTGAAGATATGAACAAGTAATGACGGATTTCAGTCATAGGTCATACGAGCTACTTAGATCAATTATACAGGGTGATTCACTTCCTGATTTGACAGCTCAATAAAAAAGAGCTAGTAACTATATCATTAAAATATAAATTTTATTGAAAATCATATTACCGAATTTATTTCTCTATCACTTAGTTTTAAAGATGACATTCGACAAATGACTGCCGCATTGTAAACGCATTCAGTCAAGTCGATTTTTGAAGTTCCGTTCAACTCGCTGAGGCATATTGGCGGTGTATGTTGCTTGGCGAATGTTGTTCTTTACATGAGGCAGTGTCCTTGGACAGCCATTGTAAACAATTGAATCAAGATAACCTAGTAAAAAATCAAACGGAGCCAAACCGATAGATGGCACCACTCAAAGAAGGTTACCTCTCCTGTAAACAAGGCACATGGGAAGATCGTCGCTGAGAGATCAAAACTCTTAATGATCTGGCACAAGTATGTCTCGAACAAATCGACTGTCAATGCTGATAACGTCGCAACAGAAATTAAGTCGCCAGACTTCAATAGAAATGATCTTTTTTAAAAACAAAACTGAGCCACATCTTTCTAACGCGATCATAACAACTTTTTAGTCACCATGTCTTTTGCAAACACTCTAGTGACTCTTGGATTTAGTGATGAGCGGAGAGGTAAGTGAAGTATGTGCTGAGTTTCGACTTATGTCTCATTGATAGTACTTGATGAATATGACAGTTGAAAATTTTTATCGCAATCTAATTATTGCGAAGAACATGCAAGTCGCGCTGCGGCCTTGGATAGGGGCAGAATCAATCGGAAATTTTGTTAAATTTTCAATGTGTGAAGAAATTTCCCTCAATAGCTAAGGACTCGTGGCCGATGGAGTTTCCCCTGCACTGCGCTGGGCGACAACAATCGCCCATCAGCATCATTACGCGGGAAACCACCATGGCCTGGTGGACCATCTTCACGCCCTTCAAATTTACAGACTACCTGACGGTACCCACATCCATGACTGCAGTTAACAACCACCACACGCGTGAGAACACTTAATGTTGGTAATTTTAAGCTGTGGTAAATATATAAATTTATAGTTGTAGTCATTTATTAAGAAGGAAACAAAGAATCCAAGCTCGAAACAGAGTTCAAGTCTAGTATAGTAGAAACTTATAATGGACGTTTGACCATTTTGTCAATTTTTCATTTGCAGAACAAACGAATTTATTAATCATTTGTATGAATAGCTAATACCTTCTTCTGACTAATTTTACAGCGACCATCTCTATTATTGCTCAATTCAATTTCAGATATAGGTAATATTCTTTAAACTACAAATTCATTTCCCTTGATGTTGACCTTCCAACTTGTCTTAAATTAACACTCGGCATTGCTTTTTTCACGAATGCTTTCAGTTAAGAAATTATTCGAATTTTTTTATGATTCACAGTAAAGATTTTCAGGTTAATATTTTATTTCTTCCATATCGCGCCCATATATTTCTTATTTCCTCTGCTTCTTACATAATTTTTTTTATTAAATATGATGATAATAGGGGGAAATATTAACGATGTCGAAATGGGAAATTGAAATTTGATTGAAAATAAACTAAGTCAGCGCAAAATTTTCTGATTGGTTTCTTATTTCCATCATAAATGCGAGCGAAATTTTTAGGCAGGACTAGGAGGATTTTTTAAGAATATTTACTGAATTCTTACAAGTTTAAGACGCTAGCGTTCAAAAGGAAACCTAAAATGAAGGATTAGGTGGCATCTTAAATAATTGATACAGTTAATAACAATTTTCCAGTGTCAGTGACAGCTGCATACAAAACTAAGCCTCGCATTAGGGGCGGTGGACTCTCAGGCAGCTACGAGTTCTTGAACAATGTGGTTGCAGATGGCCGGTTGTGTATGTGGTTGCAGATGGCCCGTTGCGTATGTGGTTGCAGATGGCCGGTTGTGAATGTGGTTGCAGATGGCCGGTTGTGTATGTGGTTGCAGATGGCCGGTTGTGAATGTGGTTGCAGATGGCCCGTTGTGTATGTGGTTGCAGATGGCCGGTTATGTATGTGGTTGCAGATGGCCGGTTATGTATGTGGTTGCAGATGGCCGGTTGTGTATGTGGTTGCAGATGGCCGGTTATGTATGTGGTTGCAGATGGCCGGTTATGTATGTGGTTGCAGATGGCCGGTTATGTATGTGGTTGCAGATGGCCAGTTATGTATGTGGTTGCAGATGGCCGGTTATGTATGTGGTTGCAGATGGCCGGTTATGTATGTGGTTGCAGATGGCCGGTTGTGAATGTGGTTGCAGATGGCTGGTTGTGTATGTGGTTGCAGATGGCCGGTTGTGTATGTGGTTGCAGATGGCCCGTTGCGTATGTGGTTGCAGATGGCCGGTTGTGAATGTGGTTG